CAAAGAAACCTCCTAGTGATCCTTTGCTGGCCCCGGAGATTCCTCCTTTACTTATAACTCACTGCTATACTTTTTTAATGATAAATTTATTGTCACAAACACCTCCTAGTTAATTCATTCAAGTTGTATTACTTAATAAAGTCTTTAAATCAATGAAAAACACACACAATGGAAGGATGTACGCAACCCTCTTATCAGTTACATACAGACATATTTCCGGTTGGGGCGGGACCGGATGCACCCCCTCTTATCAGTTACATACAGACATATTTCCGGTTGGGGTGGGACAGGATGCACCCCCTCTTATCAGTTACATACAGACATCCGGTGGGGGTGGTGGGACCGGAAATAGCTGTCAAAAATGAGTTTGATGGAATGTCATGTATACTTTCTCTCTTGTGTGTTATGGAAATCTGCTGCCAATAGTCTTATACTTAAGCTGCTTATTAGTTTTTTCAGAATCTTTACATTTTCTTCTAAAAGCGAAACTGCAGAAGTGTTACAACACTACACTCTAAGAAATAAATCTGTAAAATAACAGAAAATGGACTGGCAGCTCATTACCCAGACTTTGTCCCGTAATTAAAAAATGAAACTTTTCTGTTCATTTTTGGTTTTCCTACAGTAAAAATAAAACAGATGGATTAAGTCAATATACAGCAAATAGAAAAGTTACTTTTCTGTTTGTGTATCTATAATAACTCTTCTGAAAACAATCCAAACAAATCTTGTGTGATTTAAAAAATGTTTTTTATTTAATTATAGATCTACAACAATTCCATGAAAACTAAAACATAAAGGAAAAAAACACAAAAGGGAAAAGTATTATAATTTGTCATCTCTAAATTGTTCCCAGTCTGCTAATTCATGCCACATTACAACAATCACATCAACTGAATAAATTATTGGAAAATGTGCAAGGGTTTTGTCAGTGGAACAGGGATTGGGGCGGGGGGGTTCTTGTCTTCAGGTAAGATGAAGGCTGTAAAAGAAATAGAAAACAATATTACTGATCATCTGCACCAATTTCTGCCTTTTCTGCATCAATTTATTGTGGAAATTATTTATGTAAATGGACACACGAAATTCAGGTGTTGGTCAATTATGGTGAATATTTCAGAACATAAAACAATCTAAAATCTAAAACTGTAACAGAATATAATGCAGAGCAGCTCTTAGCTTTCAGATATGTTTCTCCTGTAGATCAACTTTTAATATCATCACTGCTGAATCAACACACAGACAGGCGTGACTGATTGCGGTAACCTCTTTAAATGTCCATGTGGTACCTTTATACCTCATCAATAATAAATTAAATCATTTTAATTCAGTTATAAACTCCTGGACTTAATAGCTCCTGTGTTTCACCAGGTTTTCTGCTCATGTTCAAAGTTCTGCACATTCAGAATCTATCTGGGTTCTCTGACATTTCCAGAATAAAGGAATATTTTGAGAGGTCAAACAGGATAAATCATCATAAACTTCGTAATCAATCCGCGGTCCACCTGCGTGCCGCACCGTGTGGAAGGGATCCATATCGCGGATTCTGCAACCCGTTGCACCACCACTATCCATGGTAGTGTGGTGATTTAATTCTTTCATGTTTTGTTGTGCAGGATCACAGCCCCTATGTGTCCACATGAGGAAAGGTCAAGATAGGCTTTCAGAGTAAAAATGTCTAGACTAGGCAACTTGATGAGTTTATTTTTTTAAGTAGCCCATTAAAATATTGCTGCAAATGCAGTGAAGAAGATGATTATCTCTAATTTAGCTATTTATACAATTATTTTCCTTTTTAAATCTCCATGAAGGAGTTGATAAGATCACTTTAAAATATCACTTTTGCTGCCCAGCCAACTTTTGGTACCTGTGCCTTTTATTATGGAGATGTAGCCAACCAAACCGCTTGCTTTGCAGTAGCACAGGCTGCCAAAACAATCTGATTATTCCTGAAGCATCTAAATAATTTTCACAACGCAAAGAAATATTGTGGCAGTAACACGAGAGCAGCACGTTGTTGAAGCAGGTAAATCTACATACAGAGGAAGCTGTGCGTCATGTGTAAAACCCAAACAGAACTATTTTATCCACCATATTTTCTCTCTCTCTATCTCAAGTAACAGCAGCACAAAGAAAAGTCTGTAATATTGAGGCACTTTTCTGCTCCGGCCTCCAGCAACTTTTTTTCCCTCCCTCAACATTTCTATCGGCTACATTTTGTCCGCGACTGATATGGACTGTGAGTGATTGACTGGTGTCTTATTAAATCGCCTCCTATGAGCCAGCTCCGAAATCGCTTGTGCCCTAGACAGCTGGGAACACAATTGTTGCAGCTGGCATTAGCTAACTAGCTTCTGTACATTTACATTACATTTATCTGACGCTTTTATCCAAAGCGACTTCCAATTGCTATACATGACAGAGGTTGCACGCCTCTGGAGCAACTAGGGGTTAAATGTCCTGAATGTAAATGTAATGAGAAGTCTGGCTGGGTGTGAGTGGGGGGCTAATAGGGAGACGATGCTGCTAATTTTTCAGGCCATGATTAGATCTGCTCTAGATTATGGCAGCTTTGTGTATGGATCTGCTTCCAAAACTGTTCTGGATAGGTTAGATGTGGTGCAGGCAAGGGCTTTGAGGCTTTGCTGTGGGGCCTTTAGAACCTCCGCAGTCCCTGCCCTACTCATTGAAATGGGAGAAATGCCCTTATGGTTAAGACGCATTAAGTTAGGGTTACAATACTGGGTCAAACTTAGTGGGTGTAATCGTACCTTCCCAGCAAGGTGTCTCTTGCAAGAGGTTGCAGGAGCTAATAGATACAAAACATTTTTTGACATAGTAAATCAGTGGGCAGGTAAGATGTGCATGGATCAGGGAGGTACTGTAGAGCATATAAGTTGGTCACCAATACCATATTGGGTGATGCCTGAAATAAATATCGAGCTTGGTTTTCTTCAGGGAAAAGATAAGTGGGAAGTGGCACCAAAAATAGAGGAATCCAGAGATCCAGTTAGTGGGAGAGCTGGATTTGGGGTGTATGTGGAGCAGTTAGGGTTGGAAATTGGTCGGCGTATTTCTAATGGAAGCTCTGTCCTCACTGCTGAATTAATGGCAATTTTATGGGCTCTATTGAGGAAGTCAAACCTAGAGAAGTCATTATCTGCTCTGATTCTACAGGTGCTCTAGAAAATTTGAAAGTAGGAAAATCTAAAGCCCGACCTGACATTGTAAAGGACATCTTGAATGTGGTTTTTAGAACTAGGTTTATCTGCAACATCAGTTTTTGGGTGGGTTCCCGGGCACGTTGGGGTGAGGGGGAACGAACGAGTGGATAATATTGCAAAAGAGAGCTTAGGAAGAGAAGTAGATGTCCATGTATCATTAGGGAGAGTGGAATTGAGAGAAATAATTAAAGAGGGCTTAATAAAAGAATGGCAGAGAGGGTGGGAAAACTAAATTAGAGGCAGACACTACTTTTCTATACAACCCAAAGTTAGGAAGAGATGTTTATGTAACATTTTGTCCTGCAGATTGAGGTTGGGGCAATGTGGATTAAATTATTCTTTGTGCATTGTAGGGAAGCATGTTTCAGGCTTGTGTGAATGTGGGAGTCCTGAGACAATAGGGCATGTTTTCCTGGAATGCAGAAAGTATAGGGCAGAAAGAAATGTACTCGTTAATAAACTGTCAGGTATGGAGTTGAGACTTTTTCTGTTTTATCTTTGTTTGGGCACAGTGACGAGCATAAACTGATCTCCAAGGCAGTCCTTCAATTCTTGCATGACACAGGACTGTATGTAAGAATTTAGTTCAAACTTTGACCTGTGGAGGGCAGTAATACGCTCATAAACGTCTACACTGCCGAAATCTCACAAGGAGAGAGAGAGAGAGAGAGAGAGACTGACATGCAGGCAGAGTGACAACCGGGGGAACAGACGGAACACAGGTTACTGAACACAAAACAGACCAGAGTGAACACTTAACATGAACTAAGGTACAGGACTGGGAACAAGGACAAAGAACTAAAACGCAGGAACAAGAGTTAAGGCAGTGACTAAGAAACAATATAACAAGTAGACTACCAAACCAAAATCAAATCAACACAGGACTACGAGCTAGAACACCAGACAAGACATAAACACTAAGGACAAGGAAACAAGAAGAACAGGTAAACAGAAGGACACCAGAAACAAATGGCAAAAACTACAACTCATGACAACGGGTGGCTCTAACGACCATGACGACTGTCGTTACCACAGCCAGGAGCACTAACGAACCAGCGGTATCGACGATCCTAGCTAACGATCCCACAGAAGTTAAATAGCTGAGTTTCCTCACCAGTCAGTCAGAACTGAAGAAGTCCCTTGGATGAGGGACGAAATGTCTTCTAGTTTCTTCAACCAAGTCCAGTTGCCCTTGACCTCAACCTTCGTTGGTCAACATTACGTAATCAGTTAACATTTAAATAATCGATTTTTTGACATTTGTTAATTGATTCTGAATCTTACAGTCAATGTAAATAGGTCTACACATAAACTGTGTCTGGATGATTACTGACTGTAAGTTAACGAAAAATGGCCTCTCTTGCTTCAGAGAGCTTCAGCGGGAGAAGCTCTGAGAGCAGCTGCAGTGTTAGAGAGTGAACCAGGTACAGAATGTGATGAATTCAGATCTAGATTAGATTAGATCTATCAACAAATCATTTCTCCTGCACTCCCTGAGCACTGACACTTCTCATGGTGACTTTTGTCTACTTTATTTCAGTTCTTTTAAACAGACCAGAAACATGAGGGAGAAGAAAACCTATAGAATTCCTCTTTCTAAAACCCACAATATGATTCTTCCTTAATTACTGAGACTTGCTGTGCTGTGCTGATGATGATAGTGTAACAGATTAATGAGATTAACACTCGAATGGAGCAAACACACTGAGGTAAGATCTGCTTCTTAAACAGGTCACAGCGTAACAAATTTATTCACTAAATAAAAAGCTGCTTTAAGATAAAAACACAAGATAGATAGAGAACATCAAACCTGTCACCTCTACATACACATATACTGTCATCATCAAAATACAGATGATTATGAAAACAGACCTGGAAACATTTTGTAGAGTTTGACATCACTCCCTGTTGGCTGATCAATAGCAACAATTCAGATGTTACAATTACAAAATACAGGCTTTATGGAGACTTTGAAAAGTTTGTAGGTTCCTCTGTTGGATCTCATCATATCCTGATATTCAACATTTCATTACTGTGGCTTCATCAAAGTAGAAGGAATCCATATTTGATGTTATTAGCACTGTATGTTACTAAGTACTGGTCAATAGTCAGACTCCCAGTATCAATAATCCAAAACTGTATTACACATATATACACATTTAAATCTGTTTGTCTTTTTTTTGATACACACACATGCAGACACAAATACATTACTTTATTATTTATTTATTTATTTATTATATGCAAGTATATTTGAAAAATAAAACCCCTTATACATTCAGATTTGAAATTAAATTCAACAAATTCTGAAGTAGAAATTTTTACACATTTTCTTTTTTACAAGCCAGCTGATGACTATCCAGTAATCTCTTCAGTTCTGATTACAGATCTTAAACAGATAAAGCTTTCTTCTCACAGATCCATCGATGTTTCTCATCACACTTCACAGCTTTCCAGCTCTTGGAAGGTGTCCCTCCGACAGAAATCACACAATGAGCTTCACCAGAAGGTGTCCTGTCAAGTAGCTGAGGAAAGAACGTGATGGTTAGATCCCAGCTGACACATTTTATTATTCATGGTGTTTAGAAAATCATCTTACTCTTGAGTCTTTAGAAAAGTTCCATTGATCCACGTCCAATTTCCAGCTTCAGCTCTCTGGCCAATCCAGTAGCCATAACTGCCCCAGTTAAAGTTGACATATTTCTGATATTCACAGAAAGACAATATCAGTTTATCATGTTTAACCACTGTACTGACAAAACACTCTGTGTCTTTAACTGTTTCTGACTTCATGCAGCTTCTTTTCTAAACCCTCTAAATCAGCTAAATAATCCACACATTGATCTCCATCCTTTTTTCATCATATACACAGAAAATACATTTGACACATGTACTGTATATCTCTAGTGTTATCAAGGTTTGTCTGAGGTTCTCCTGTGCAGGATTATCACCCTATAGTTTTGATCAGTAGAGTTCACATTTATCATGCATGAAAATTTCAAGTACATTCCAGCTGTGTTAAGAAATACATACATTTTTATTTAGTGTTTTCATTTTTTTTATAATATATATCATTTTCAATTATAATTAATTAGATTGCATCTCAGGGGGAGAAATAAAAGTTTAAACTTTTAAAAATCACTCTGACCAAAAGAACAAGGTTTACAGTGTACCAATGTTATATTTCACAGAGAAGAGAATGGTTTTTAGTTCTGCTTTGAAGATTTGACAGTTGTTGTTTAGTTAGTGGTGAATGCTGAGTTGATGGTAAGTTTTCTACTTTAGTGGTTTTAAGCCACACTGTTTGTTCTCACACTGCTGCATTTCACCTTTCATCAACAGACAGTCATTTTTATCATAATCAAATAGATTTGCCCGTTTTGTTTGTTTATTAACAGAGAGACAGTTATCAGATATTTAAACTCTGTACTTAAACACACTGTGGCCTACAGACTCAGTGTGTTCAGACAGAAAATACATTTTCATTTCATATAGGCTGTAATAAAAATGTTCAGTGTTCTCATTACCTTCTCCTTTTGATCAAGTTTAACAACCAGATCTGAAATCTTTCCTCTGCAGTCTTCTCGAGCTTCTTCCCAGGTTTTCTGACCAGGAACATCAGGGTTATTAATCATATAGCAGCTGGATTCTGAGAGTATCCAACCTTTCTGACAAGCTTTACACGTTCTGTCTGAAACAACAGAGACAAACCAATAAACAACATTACTGCATTGTGATATAGTTCTTATCATTGTCGGTTATTTTTGAACTTTATTAATGGGATCTGAACATACTTTGGTTTTCTTTTGGGCAGTAGGCATCAATGCTCCACTGAGCTCGACTGACGTTGAGCTCATTCCACTTTGTCTTCAGCTCCTGGTTTTGTGATGTCAGGATCTGGTTTTCTGTAGTCAGCTTTGCGTTATGTTCAGAAATGACAGAAGTAACTACAGTGACAGACAGAGGAAGGTGTTGGACTGTGAGACATACACATACTTATAATAATACATTTTATACAAAATCACTATTAAAGAAGTGCTTATATGACCATAAATAATATTAAAAAGACAGGGTCACATGTTTATAAAAAAAACAAAAACAAAGACAACCAGCCGAACAGCAGCAATAAACAGCATAAAGAAAAGTTCTTCCTGTGATAACCAGGGTCAGCCTAAATGTGTTTCTGTGCCTATGTGTCTGTCTGTATGTGTGTGTGTCTACATGTGATAGCGTGTGTGTGTATATGTGTTTGTGTGTATAAGCCTGTTACAGAATGTAGTTGTTAGTGAGAGTGGGACACCACAACCACGGCGCACCGACCCCAGCGTCAGGCAGGCAAAACCCCCAGCAGCCAGGGCACCTCGCGACCCCCCACAGTGCAAAGGACCCGAGATCACGTGTCCCGGGGAAAGTCACGGCTCGCCCCAAGGGAGAACAGCAGAGAGCCATGCCGGGGAGCTCCCCGCTGCCAGAGAGAGAGAATGTGGGAGAAGCAGGGCGGACAATCCCCCAGCCCAGCCGGCATGACCCCGGATGGGGGCCCAGCCTCCCAAGGCAGCCACCCCCAAGGAAGAGGGCCAAAATCCCCCCCGACAACACCGGCCATGTGCCCCCGAGACAACCGCACGCCCTCATTGTGAAGGAGCCAGCAGGGGGAAGCAGCGGGAGCCCCACCCCTACCGAAGAGGGCACCGGCAATGGATCAAAAATCTCAGTGACACGCCACCCGTCCCAGACATGAGCAAGAGCCAGAGGCTCTGGACTCCCGGGACCAGAGTGGGCCCCCACACCAGGGGAGCCACGTCCCCCCTCAACACACCCCAGGCCAGGAAAGGCAGACACCTACCCCACGGCGCCCCCCCGACACCCACATGAGGCCAATGAGACCCCCCACACACCTTCAACACCCCCCGCCTGCCTCTGTAAATGTATTGTGTTGGATGCATGTCATGGACGGTGAAGTATGTATGATGGAGTGAAGATAAGGTGTGTGGTAACTAAGGTGCAATTAAAAATGGAGGGTAGTTGCGACGCAGGCACCCCACAACTGACAGGTAGGAGCCCCCCAATGTACCCCTCCCACCCCCCAAGCCCTCTGTGTCTAATGTGCAATTAAAATTAAGGGGCAGCCAGTGGAGGAGGAAGAAGGAGGGTGAGGCCACAATAAAGCAGCCCCACCCACCAAACGCCCTGCAGCCTGCCTGCCCCCCAGAGTCCTAAGGGTGTATGTAGTGAGACATGACCGAAAGGGGGGAGGTAAAAGAGGTTATAGGCCCCAGAGGGGCGAGGACCCCCCCAGGGGACAGAAAGGCCTAACGGCCCCTATGGCCCAGACCGGCAGCCCCACCCACACCAAGGAAGCAAGGCCACCCAGCCCAGGCCAGCTCGCCACCCCCAACCCCTCGTGCCCCTCCCTCCCCAGCAGTGAAGCGAAAGGCTGATACACACTTTATTTCTCTAACTCACACTGCTGAAGCCTCATATCAGCTACAAATTAACATTGGAATCCATTTTTACACAAGTCCAGTATGAAAAAGAGGAAGAATGACACCAACCAGAATCTGCTTCGGTGTACATAATGGGCGCCTGATTATTGTTTTAAAATGGACTAAAAACATTTTAAATAAGGACTCAAACAACAAGCTAAGAAGAAAAAAAAAACTTAGATTCTAACTGACATTTTAATAGAAGGTACTCACAGTAGATACGAAGGGCCATGATCACTGACAGAATCACCCAGCACACTGCCACTGCTGGAAAAGACGGAGTGAAGGAGAGAAACTTCTGATCTGACAGAAAAATAAGAATTTAGTTGAAACACAAAAACATGATTTAACAGTCAAAGGTGCTTTGAATACTTTTAAAATGGAACCATTAAGCTTCCACATTTTTAACCTTCATCACATTTTCTTACATCATGGTTGAGAAATAAATTTCATGCTTAACAACATAATATTTGTGAAATGTGTTGTGTTCATAATGCACCTGAAGTGACGGCCATTCTATCCACAGCACCTACTGCTGCATTAACATAGTCAGCTTCTTCCTCGATTACATCTGAAAGTTATACAGATCAAACACAAATGTTAAATGTTTAAACTGAATGTTTTTACAGATTCACTAATATGTTGAGCACCCTGGATGTAAAAGATTCCATCCATAATCCAGAAAGTATCTGCCTGTTACCTTTGAAAATGTAATGTTTATAGGCAAGGTGCTCTCTAATAAATTGAAAATTTTCAAGGTTCTCAAGGAATTTACAAGGAAGCCTTCACCTCATAAGTTTTAAGCCGCCCTGTTTGTCTGCAGCTTCTTCTAACACTGAAGTTCACCTTTCATCAGCAGCTTCTCAACACTGACTTTTTATCATAATCAAATATCTTTCCTGAAAACAGAAGACCCAATAAACAAACAGAAATCCTTTTAAAAATACACAACTTGCCTTTTCTTTAATAAGTCATTAAAAATAATTCTGTTAATAATAATAAGTCATTTGCAATGTACTTCAGTTGGCTGTCATTCTTTTTACAGTGCTGTTACGGGAGGCAGCTTCTTCCTCAATTTTTCTCAGAGAAAAAAATATTAAATGTTAATATTTCTAATGTGTTGAGCAGAGTGGAATAATCATAATGCAAAAGATGCAACTGGAAATGAATTTGACCATTTTAAAACCATCTGGTGCTCAGCTGTTGTCAACAACCAGAAGCATAATACATGGTAGAAAAACACCACAAAAATACTTAGTAGTAGAAAATATCTTACCTGCAGATAGTTGAACAGTAGAATTGTTTAAAGTGCCAGTTGCCTTCAGTGGTTTTCTGTTCATCTTGAACAAATGTTTAAAATCCTGTTTCAGTCCTGTGTGACGGTTTTAAGGAAAGTCTCAAGCTGCAAAGTGTCGCTGGTGTTAGATGGTGTGTTTGCTGCGTTGGTCTTCGGTGGACTTCTGCTTTGAGGTTTTGACAGAAGTCTTTGTTCAACTTAGCAGCTAATAACATATTTGTGAAGGGAAGTCTGGTGGTGTGTACTGCTGTCTGCAGAGAGTCTCTTGTCACATTACCACTGGGGGAGCAAAGTCAGAAATCTGCTGATTCTAGTGGACTAAAATACATGTTAATACACTAAGGTTTGATTAATCCAATCTGTTAATGGAAAGTTACTTACACCAGTTTATATTTAATGTCCCCACCCAGCATGAGCCCCTTTACATGAGGTGTCAATGTAAGGATTGCAGAACAAACGGTGGAGGCTCTATTGATCTCCACTGTGTGCTCCACATGTCTCAACTGGTCTTTTGTTTTCTAAATGTAAAGACACAGTTTGCTTTTTCCTCCTATTGTACTTGAAATTGTGAAGACAATTTATTTGTGACGAACAATGATGAAAACAAATATCTGCAGTCACACTAACTAAACTATATGATGAACAGCATGACAACTATATGATGGATAAGATCAAACCTGTCACCTCTACATATACTTTTATTGTTTACTTAAAAATACAGATGTTTATTAAAACAGACCTGGAAACATTTTGTAGAGTTTGAAATCACTTCCTGTTGGTAAATCAGTATTAACAATTTAAATGTTACAATGACAATAGACAGGTTTTATGGAGACTCTGAACAGTTTAAAGCTTCCTCTCTTAGATCTCATCATATCCTGATATTCAACATTTCATTATTGTGGCTTCATCAAAGAAGAAGAAATCCACATTTGATGTTATTTGCTCTTCAGCTCCCCCGGTATAGTCATCACTGTATTTTACTACAAACTGGTCTATAGTCAGACTCACAGTATCAATAATCCAAAACTGTATCACACATATATACACATTTAAATCTGTTAGTGTGTCTTTTTGTGATACACACACATGCAGAATCACCATACACAAGCATCTTGGAAAAATAAAATCTCTTGTACGTACATTTTGAAATTAAATTCAACAAATTCTGAAGTAGAAATTTTTACACATTTTCTTTTTTACAAGCCAGCTGATGTTATTGTACGCGTCATTCATCTGTGCAGACTATCCAGTAATCTCTTCAGTTCTGATTACAGATCTTAAACAGATAAAGCTTTCTTCTCACAGATCCATCGATGTTTCTCATCACACTTCACAGCTTCCCATTTCTTGGAAGGTGTCCCTCCGATAGAAATCACACAATGAGCTTCACCAGAAGGTGTTTCTGTCCCAGTAGCTGAGGAAAGAACGTGATGGTTAGATCCCAGCTGACACATTTTATTATTCATGGTGTTTAGAAAATCATCTTACTCTTGAGTCTTTAGAAAAGTTCCATTGATCCACATCCAATTTCCAGCTTCAACTCTCAGGCCAATCCAGTAGCCTAATTCGCCCCAGTTAAAGTCGACATATTCCTGATATTCACAGAAAGACAAAATCAGTTTATCATGTTTAACCACTGTACTGACAAAACACTCTGTGTCTTTAACTGTTTCTGACTTCATGCAGCTTCTTTTCTAAACCCTCTAAATCAGCTAAATAATCCACACATTGATCTCCATCCTTTTTTCATCATATACACAGAAAATACATTTGACATTTTTACTGTATATCTCTAGTGTTATGAAAGTTTGTCTGAGGTTCTCCTGTGCAGGAATATCACATTATAGGTTTTGATCAGTAGAGTTCACATTTATCATGCATGAAAATTTCAAGTACATTCCAGCTGTGTTAAGAAATACATACATTTTTATTTAGTGTTTTCATTTTTGTATAATATATATCATTTTCAATTATAATGAATTAGATTGCATCTCAGGGGGAGAAATTTTATATTTCACAGAGAAGAGAATGTTTTTTATTTCTGCTTTGAAGTTGTGACAGTTGTTTAGTTAGCGGTGAACGCTGAACTGATGGTGGGAAGTTTTCTACTTTTACTACTCTACTAGTGGTTTTAAATCACACTCTTCATCTGCAACATCTTCTCACACTGCTGCATTTCACCTTTCATCAACCGACAGTAACTTTTATCACGATCAAAAAAGATTTACCCGTTTTTTTTTGTTTATTGATGAATGTCTGACAACAGAGAGACAGTTATCAGATATTTAAACTCTTTGCTTTAATAAACACACTGTGGCCTACAGACTCAGTGTGTTCAGACAGAAAATACATTTTCATTTCATATAGGCTGTCATAAAAATGTTCAGTGTTCTCATTACCTTCTCCTTTTGATCAAGTTTAACAACCAGATCTGAAATCTTTCCTCTGCAGTTTTCTCGAGCTTCTTCCCAGGTTTTCTGACCAGGAACATCAGGGTTATTAATCCCATAGCAGCTGGATTCTGAGAGTATCCAACCATCCTGACAAGCTTTACACTGTCTGTCTGAAACAACAGAGACAAACCAATAAACAACATTACTGCATTGTGATATAGTTCTTATCATTGTCGGTTATTTTTTTACTTTATTAATGGGATCTGAACATACTTTGGTTTTCTGGTTTTGGGCAGTAGGCATCAATGCTCCACTGAGCTCGACTGACGTTGAGCTCATTCCACTTGTTTTGTATTTGTTCTGTTAAGTTGTTCCTCTGTGACTCCAGATCCTGGTTCTGTGTCTCCAGCTCCTGGTTTCGTGTTGTCAGGATCTGGTTTTCTGCAGACAGGTTTGTGATCTTGCTTTTAAGACAGTATAGGCTTGTGTCACATTGTGCAACTGGAAATGGGAAATTAGCTTATTGAGTGATAGTAATGATATGATTTTGTCTTTGTCACTTCACTGTTTTACTTCAGGTTTTCTAGACTTATGGGAGTTGTAGGCTCTTATTTGTCTTTAATTTATGAGATCCCCTAAAAAGAATAAATGTTTTCTGACTTCCTAAGCCCTTTGGTTCCTACTGGACCCTTAAATATATGGCATTGCCTAAAACAGCTAGGCACTATAATTTTAAGTAATAAGTAATTAAACAGTGAATAGTGTATTTGTTGGGGATTTTTTGTGTGTGTGTGCACTAGCAGGGCCTTATGGCAGCAGGACGGTGTCTGTGGTACTAACTTCGACAGTGGCTGTGTTCATTGTTGTGGATGTCTCATGCGGACGTGCCGTTGGCGTCTCTTACAAAAGCCGAAGGGTACCTTTTGCATCAAATACCTACACTTTGTCAACCTTTCTGAACGCGTTGGTATTTGACGCCCTGAGATGAGAACAGGCTGTAAAAATTGGTTGCAAATTGTTGAAAATAAAAATCACATAAACAAGTTTGTTCGTAACATGATTTAGAATAGAGGAAGAAATCTATAGGTTAAACAACCTGTTAAGAAATACTGTAACCGACCAGCTGATATGTATGTTTTAATTGTTAGGCTGTTTATCGTAATCACCATGTTTTCCAAGTTTCCAGGATGTCACTGAATGTGTTATGCCTGCCTGACTATATGATACGCTTAGAAACCGAGGAGAAAAGAGAGAGTTGAAAAAGAGGGATGTTAGCACGTAGCGCTCTGTGACAGACAGATTTGTCTTTTTGGCACTGGCTACGGCCCACATTAGCCTGTATTTTCTTCTGTAATAAACAGTGAACAAAACCAGCTATCATCTCATAGCTTCTTGTTGAGGAAAGCTACAATACTTTGGTTATGGTTATAGTAATGTTACAGAGGAAAACTGGTGCTGTTATTCTTCAAGTTCTGCCTCATGTCTGAGTCTGAGGTACTGCATAGACTACCTGTTTTGTATACTTACTGTAGACACAGACTGCTATGATGCCCAACAGCAAAATGACACAAAGAATCCCCAAACAACAAGCCACCTGCTGATAGCAGCGACCTCTGCTGTTTGTTTTCTTGTCTGGCAAAAGTCCTGCTGAGGATAAACAACAAATGCCGTTTTTCCATTACCAGAACCAGCTCAACTTGCCGCGACTCAACTCGGTTTTGTCCCGACGTCCTCCGTTTTCCATTGCAGATAGTACCCAGAAATATGCCGCGTTCCAGACGGTTCAGAACTGGGAAATTTCCAAGTGGAAATATCTGACTTCTAACCTAAAAGCGTTCCAGGTGCATGGTGGTGCATGACACGTGAGTCGCTGACCGTGGCACAGTGAATACACACAGGTGTTAATTAAAAGGATGGCAGTTTTAATGCAAACAACTGACATAAATAACCTATACGTTACTAGTTAACTGTGTACCCCTCTAGCTATATCAGTTGGTAATCCTCAAGTCAATGTTGTAGGTTACACTTCCTTAATGTTTTGGCATTTTAAACGATAACTTTTATGCAGAGAAGATAACTTTATGAGATTTCTACATCAATGTACATGCAGAACAGGTTTTACTATATGACCGTATGTATTAGTTTAATTTAAATACATACAAATATATGTTTTGTTGCCTTTTAGTTTATGGTTTACCATTTACAGTGTGTGCTTCCGTGGGCGCTGACATTGTTTTGTGACGTCATTCAGCTGCTACTCGTGAAGTCGGGGGGCCATATTTTTTCTCCGAGTTCACAAGTAGGAAATCCGACTTCAAGTGGCGTTCCACAGTACTTTTTCTGGTTGGAGGTCGGAAATTTCCCAGTTCCGAGTTGGCTGGAACGCAGCAATAGTACTCTTCAATCTAGCTAGTCGTCATAGCAACACCACACACCAGTGACCCACACACAGCTGTCTCTTGATTTCACCTCAAAACTTCTCAGAAGTGGATTTAGTGATGAAATTACACATGAAAATTGTAAAATATAAAACGTCTGTTGCTGGCCTCTGTCAGGCACGCGCAATGATGACACAGCGAATAGTGACGATTCTCTCTGACCAATCAGCAATCTGCTGTGTTTTCATGTCACATTTTAGTATCACCTCAGCTCGCTTGGAACCTCGACGGTGGTGATAAGAACAAAGTACCTGGTTGCAAGTACAGGTACAACTTTTCCCCAATGGAAAACCAAAAAAGGCGAGTCGAGCTGGTACCTTGCAGTGGAAAAGGGGCTAAATATAAATAGAAGGCTTTAGCAGTCCAAGTTAACGATATCAAGAGGGTAACTTTCAAAGTTACAGTAATTTTACAACAAAAAATCTTTTTTACACTAAAAAGTCAGTAAGTAGAAGACAGTAAAGGTACCCGCTTCATTTGACTAACCCAGACTGCTAGGCTTGTATTAGCTTCAGATAAACCTGGGAATACATTTCTACACAGAACAAAGACATTTTCTCTCCCATCTCTTATATTCGAAGCACATTAGAAAAGATCTCTTAATGGTCAGTACAAACAGGAGGAATGATTACAGGCAGCAAAACATGTTTCAATATTCACATGGGCACCTGACTTTTACTTCATGATGGATATTAAAATGTGTGAACCTGTTCTTTAAGAAAAGTGCTTTTTGCCATTGTGCTAAGAGGAGCATTAGAAGAATTGGTGGCTGTAAAATAAATGTTGCAGTTGAAGCACTTGAAAGTTGAAATACAAATCAGAAATTCTCTAAATAGAAATTCCCTACTATGGCTTAAACCCCAGAAACAATGGATCCTACACTTCCCATAATTCAAGGTGATTTTATCTTTTCACTAGAGCTTCCCTGCCTGTGAAACAGCAACATCTTTTTGAACTCCACACCCCCAGTTTGTAAGTCTTTGTTAAAATTAGCAGTCTCTAAGTTATTAACAAAGCTCCTACTGTTTTCACAGGCTGAGCAGTACTCCTCATGACCCCCCTATTAGTTCCCTTTTAATGGTTGTAATAACGATAAATCTGAGGTAGTATTTGTAGCAGTAATAGTAGTATTAATAGATATACTCTACTGAATGCTGTGTACATTTTTCTTTACAACTTACTGTTTGTGTCAGCAGTCTTTTCGGTTGTTTTGCTTCGCACCTTCACATCACTGTACACAGTTTCCTCCTCCTTATTAGCTGAAAGGTTGAAGAACACAATCTTGTGGTTAATTACTGTATAGTGTCTAAATTGTAAAGGCTTTTGGAGGCTTATTTTAACATTTGAAATTATTGTGACTGTCCCAGTATCTTGTTTTAGAATTAAAAGTAATTCAGTGTTTTTCCCAGAACTGTATTCTGTAGACCCTCACAGGGCAACTAAAACGTAAGATGATCCAGTTCTCTCACAGTTAGCGGGTCATGAAAGGGAAATTATGCATTTTATAGAGAAACACTTTTAAAATAACCACTTCATTACACATGTGCCTGACTGGTTTTTGATAGCTGTGGTCTGTGGAATCTCCAGTGTTGTTACATAAATGGGCGCTATCAAGCAAAAGCAAACCAAAACCTTTCCATGTATTTCCAATATGGATATGACAAATACATGTTTTGGAGTAGCAGATTACAACAACTAAGTTTAGAGACAGCCCAGTGGATTGCAGATAGTCAAAGGTTTCAAATGTTAAAACAAATTTCTCAATTCAGATCAGAAAAAGAGAACAGACACCACAATCAGCCACAGTTTACAAAACAGCATTTCCATGATGTCATGCTGCTGAATGTTTTATTTTGCCCACATAACACGAGAGGCAGATGTGTTCATTGTTGCTCAACAAACTTACAGGGCAATGGCTTTAATATTATTTCATGTTCTGAACAGTCCAATTTTCAAATGTATTTACTAACCAGTTTTACTGAAGAAAATACCAGTGCAAGAAATCACATGAAGAGGATGATCACATACAGATCCAGCCATACAATTGACGACTGGGCTGTGTGGGGGTCCAGGCAGATTGATGTGGAAACAAGGAAACAGTATTTGATCCATATCAATGACATGATGCGTTTCAAGATCTTTTCTTGATTTAAAAAATAAAATGAATTCAAACAGCTGAACTTACCTTCAGATGGGGAATGCTTCTTAGTTTTGAAAACAACTGAAGCATAGTTGACCTCCTCCTCCGCCATCGCTACAGTCCTTCTGTTTAGTTCCCACTGACTTCAGCCCCTGTCATTAAACCACAGAGCATCCTCATTTTGACACTTGACTGATGCAACTTCTCTGTGTGGCAATTAGTGTCTCCAACATGCGCTCACACTTTTACTAGCTGAAAGTTGTTAGTATAACTTTGCATACGAGAACATAAGGAAAGAAAATCCCCCCGCCATCCTGGTCCAGGGCAAGATATCTCAGCAGCTGCTGTCTCCAGTGCTACTAAAATGGATTTTCATAGTCTCCAGATGATGAATCTTAATGCTTTTGGTGACCCTTTTTCATATAGAGCATTTTTATAGGCCAACATTTCCCCTTAATGAACAGTATTCCTTTTTATTAAGTACCTCCCAAATGAAAGGTTGGATTTTCAGTTTGGATGTAAAGTTACTATAACACCTTCATGAGTAAGGCTGCTTTGAAAGAGGAAGTAAAATATGCAGATCCTGAACTCAGTAATATTTCTTTGTCTTTGCTAGCTTTTATCCCTGAAATATGGCTGCTGATGCGGTCTGCACCATGTCAAAGAGATGGGATAATAAAATCTTGTAATGTGACAATATGAATCTTTCATTTTCTGTTAGATTAACAGTAGAGTAGATACTTGAGCATATCTATTATCTATATCTATTCACTGCTTGAGTAGTTGGGTACATGTCACAATCCTGTCCTGAGTTTCTCTGTGTGATGCATTTTGATTCTTGTTTGGTTGGTTTTGTATCTGCAGTTCAGTCCGGTCCTCTGTTCTGTTGAGTTTAGTTATCTGTGAGTTTATTTATTGGTCAGTTTGGTATCTGTTATTTAGTCTGTGTTTTGGTTCCATGTCTTAGTTCCTAGTTCTGTGTCTTAGTTAATGTCTTTGTATTTACTCCTAGTTCTGTGTTAGCATTATTTTGGCTTTGCCTGCTGTGAGTTCTGTTTTATCCTAGCTTCAGTCTGTTTTCCTTGTTGGTTGTAGTTTATTTGTGATATGTCTGCTTGCATCTGGATTAGTTTGTTAATCATATTATTCCGATCTCTTATTTTGATATGGTCTGTGTTTATGGTTCAGCTACTGTACATGCGTACGGTATAAATAGCGGTGTTTTCACCTCCACGGATGGAGTTTCCGCTCCTTGAAGCTCGCCGTTGCCCGTCGTGCCCCGGTCTGATCGCCGGGGTCGACACTCATCGCTTCTGCTTTGAATGCCTCGGCAGGGACCAAGCCAGAGATGGCATCCGCCAACCATTTCCGGCAGTGTGAGTATTTCTGGCAGTGTGAGCTCTCCCTCATCTGCGAGTAGAGAGAGTAAGACACCGGCCCGGATCCCCTCCACGCTGAGGAGGATGCTCCGGCCCCAATCAACCGCCTCCATTGGCTCTACGCTCCCTGCTGACAACCTGTCATCTGCGGCCACATCGGCCGTCTCTAATGAGCAAATTAATTCCTCCTCAGTCCATCAGGACTTCCCCGCGGTTATGGCTATAGCAGCAAGGCGCGTTGGGCTAGCACTGCCGGTTGTGGGCTTGATTGATTTCCTTTGCGTGCAGGGCGACACAAAAGCGCGCATGCCCCCGCTGGAAGAGGCCCTCGCTGCCCATCTTGTTCCTCCATATTCCAACTGGGCGCGCAGCCACTGTGTTAATATGTTGTGTCTCTCCCACAGTGGCCAACAAGCTGTGGAGAGGAGCGCTCCCCGGCTTGTCACTGCTCCTCACGACAGTTCTGCTCATAGTGAACACGTCACCGAAGACACTACAACAACACTGTCGCAGGCAATGATGTCAATGGAGCGACCGGCCATGGTGCATTCAGGACACCACAGTCCGCTTGTTTTCCACTTGCCCGAAGTGGCCCTTTCGATTGCGGCCCCCTTGGGCCGAACTCCCTCTTATGGAGGGATTGGTGGCGGTGAAGGCTGAGGAAGCTTTCCAGCGTTTCATCCACAATGCTCCTCAGCTGACAGCGCGTCCCCTGACTCATTTCCACATGGAATGGAGACGCTGCTGCAAGCCAACAGACTGGATGGACGGCATATTGAGGCGAGGTTACTCCCTACAATTTTGCCGTATCCCACCGTCTTTACAGGCCATCAAAGAAGCCAACCTGTCCTCTCAGGAGGAGGTGGACTTCCTGGCCACAGAGATTCAACAGCTCCTGCTGAAACAGGCTATTTCTGTTGTTCCAACGCACAACATGTACAAGGGTCCACATACTTCCTGGTCCCCAAGAAGACAGGAGGCTTCAGACCCATCCTGGATCTCCGTTACCTGAACCAGCATATTGCACGGAAACCGTTCTGCATGCTGACACTCAGGAAACTGCTAGAGCTAGTGCAGCTGGCCCTACGCACATTCAGCAAGTGCGTAGACGCTGCACTGCTACCATTGTGCGATCAGGGCATGAGGGTCTTTTTCTACTTAGACGACCTCGTTGTCATGGCCAGGTCAAAACAATGGGCAATTTTCCATTTCAGATCAGTTGATTTTGCATCTGAACAACCTGACTTTGCAATCAGCTGGGAGAAGAGCTCCCCCTATCCTCGCCAGGAGGTGGAGTACTTGGGGGTTGTGCTCAACTCAGCCAGCCTGAGAGCTCATCTGTCAGAACTCAGACAGACAACTCTTCTTCAAGCGGTCCGCAAGCTCCAGCTGGGGACTGCTGTGACTGTGCTGTCAGTGATGCAGCTGCTAGAGCTCATGGCAGCACCCCATCCGGTGGTTACCCTGGGCCTGCTACACATGCGGCGGTTAGAACGCTGGTCTACCAGCCTGTATCTGTTTTTCCCCCCACTCCCTCTCATCCCCTCCTGCTGGAGAGGGAGAGACAGGAAGGGTTGTCAGTCATCCTGGTAGCCCCCAGCTGCAGATCGGTGGGGTGGTATGCAGAGGTGACGCAGCTTGGCCCTGGCTTAGCCCTGGCCTGTGCCTCAGGTCTGGGGGGCTCTGTCACAGGAGTCAGGCACCATAGGCACGTTGCCGGTGCTTGGCCAACCTCTCCAGGTTTGGCTCCTGAAAGGGAGAGGTTAAGACAGGCTGGGCTGTCTGCAGAGGTGGTACATACCATCCAGGCGGCGAGGACTCCACCGCATTCCTACTACAAAGCTAAGTGGATGGGCTTTCAGCGCTGGTGCATAGAGAAGGAAATGGATCCCATAACCTGCTCAGTGGAATCCATCCTTTCCTTCTTACAGGGCCTAATGGAGAAGGGACTGTCACACTCAAACATTAAGGTGTATGCAGCAGCTATCTCATCTTTGTATAACGAGATTTTTTTTCAGTTTCCCGTTTTTAATTTCAAAACAAAAATCCGTTGGCCGCAAAGGACCCTATAGCTGGTATTGGACACAGCGGAACGGGTTTTAAACTCAGATTGAGTTTGCTGGTTAACTGGTATGTATGGGATGCCTTTATGTAAGCAGAAACCTCACTCTTTAGTCTGGGCCAAAAGAAATACCTCAGGATGCGGTCATACGTCTTTCTGATGCCTAAATGGCCAGACTCATTATGGGAAATCTGCAAAACCATACTATAAAACCTGGAAGGCACAACAACTTGATAAATTAGTTCACCACAAATGCTCTCCTTGAGGCACCCACTTTCTCATCAATACATCATTCTGGGAAAGTAACACTGTGTGTGGCTTTTCACCTCACCATAAGGACGTGCCATCTCCAGCAGACCCTTAAGAGAACAGTCAGCCTGCTGCTCCGCCACCAACTCGCTGCGAGAAACAGACCAGGGAACATCAGGACATGTTACATCATGCTGCACAGAAATGTCATCATTTTCGGTGGAACTTCTGGAAACTCAGTTTCACTATCATCAGGCCCACTGCTCACCAGGGGGGAACTGGAGCAACGGCAGCTGGTGTGCAACATCAGCCCACACCCAACTACCTGCTATATCATTACCCAGAATCATGGTAACACCAACCACCGGCAGAGCTGGACGCACACCAATTGCCACCTCCCCCTGAAACAGATCACAAGACAACATCAAGGTCCATGCAGAATATTCATGCCCATTCCGAACACAGGTATATTCAAACCCCTGCTGGTCTCCTCTGAAAATGTTATGGTAGATGCTAAAATTGATTAATCAAAAGCACCAGTGTTACGCAGTATTTTTATGTGCACTTTCTCATCACTCCCTGCTAAACATACAAAACCATCTGAAATAAATGTATTCCTGAATTAACAGAGCACGCACCTCCAGCAGAGGGATTTTCTGTGTCCAAACTGTGAACCAAGACATCCGCTACTTCCACCATTAATCAAATATAAGCTTCAGCTGCCGTCTTCACCTTCCGCTCACCAATACAGGTGGCGAAGCGCTCTGGTCCAAGATCATCAGATCGTCTAAAGCACTGAATGGTTTAGGACCAAAATACATTTCTGATCTTCTGCTTCATTATGAACCATCCAGACCTCTCAGGTCATCTGGGACAGGTCTGCTTTCTGTCCCCAGAGTCAAAACTAAACATGGAGAGCGTTCAGTTTTTATGCTCCATATATCTAGAACAAACTCCCAGAAAACTGCAGGTCTGCTGAAACGGTCAGTTCTTTTAAATCAAGACTTTTCTTTTTACCACTGCCGTTAATTAGATCAAATGTAAGGCTGTAGATTTATGTTGTGCACTGCACTGTGACTTTTACTGTCCTGTTTTACCCTGTTTCTATTTCCTATTTAACTCTTTAAAATGTATTTTATCCCATTTTATTTTCCATTTCACCCTTTTAAAAATTATATTTTAGTGTTTTTTTATTTCAATTTCCCTTTGTTGCTTTTATGTTTTGTGTAAAGCACTTTCAATTGCCTTGTTGGTGAAATGTGCTATACAAATAAACTTGCCTTGCCTTCAGGCATCAGTTCATATGCCTTAAGGACAGCACATTTACCACAGCATTTCAACCCCTTACTGTTACTCAAAGAATAAGCCTTCTGGGCCCTGCTGGTTAACACATTGCATCATTAATGTTCGAGTGGCATCAGACTACCCCCTGCCTCAGCTA